CCAAGTTCGATCCGGGTCTGTGAGAGGTGCCGTTATCTTGTGCCGTTGATGTGGCGTGGCACTTGTTACTACTAGCTTCTTGTTACTACTAGTAAGGCACCTGTTACTACTAGCGTGGCACTTGTTACCGTTCTTTTTTTTCTCTCGAGGTGGGTCAGTGAACGGTTTTCAGACCCAACAAACACCAAAGCGTCAGCGGTCTGACGGACCGAGTCGCTGGCAACTCCACGTCCGATCCCACCGGGTTTCTCACCGGAAAACGGCGGTGAGATCCCACCGTCGTCTCCGCTCGGAGTGGATCGGTTAGCTTGGCAGGGCCGGGTCACACGACCCGGCCGTTTCTCAGCTGCCAAAAGGGCGGTGCGGTTTGCGATGGCGCGTGCGGGAGCTTCGAACGGACTTGGTGACACCGGCCGAACTCGCCGCGGATCCATGGTGTCACCATTGAATCATCTAGCAATATGGCCTGAATCATCCAGAATCGTCCAAGAGTTCTTTCAGCAGGCCAAAGTGAAGCATAGACTCACGGAAAGAAGACCAAGCAGTTGCTGTGGGCAGGCTTTTGGATCAGCTGGGTGCAAAACACCAGGGCACAAACCACTCGCTCAAACAACGGAAACACACAGCAGCAAGTTCCGAACTCAACGGCAAATCTTAGTGCCCTAGCCCTAGTCCTGCCCCTCCAATCCATGAGAGAGTGAGAATTTACCTTGAGCTCATGAATCCCCAAATTAGCAGGGTAAGAAGAAAGCTACATTTCATTTGTATGGTGGCCCGGCAGCTTCAAAGCCAACAGCTATGCCATATGCTCCATCATCAAAAGGCGGCAGCCATCTTTGAGCAAAGAGCACAACCTCACAGCTTCAGCTTTAGCTATGACATGCTTTTTCACAGCATTCGGCCGGGCATAGCCGGGCCACCATGGGCCACCAGAAGTCAGGCTTCATGCGCCTGTGCAGAGCCGCCTGAGCCTGAGCCATGTCATCCAGGACGGTTGGAACAACACCGATCGAGGCAGCCCAAAGCATTCAAAGCGATGAGGAGCCGACCGTGACGCGAGGTTTTCTCCATTCCCGGGAAGCCCAGAGCCGTGGACGCGGACAATGGATGAACTACAAACTGGGCTTATCCCATCTTTCCCAGAGTCTGATCGGAGTCGACTCCTCCCTAGATCTATAGACATGTCAATTCAATGTGTAGTTAATTTGGGAGCTTTCAGGTCATGTCGCTTACTTTGGGAGCTTGGTGACACCATGCAATCTGGGCGCTTCCGATGACCGATTGCGATGGCCGAGACCGGGGTTCTGTCCGAACTGACCAAAGACGTCCTAACTGTCCGGAAGGATGAGGGATGAAGAGGGACTAATGGGAAAAACCCACCGGGGGGGACATCCATCGACATCACCGAACATGGGCCATCTCTGGCCGATTTTTCCGGCTCGCATCAGGAGTGGGACATGGATTTGGTGGATTCCTTCAGTTCCGAGGAGCACGACGGCAGGGTCGCCACACTGAGCGGGGAGGAGGAAGTGGAGGTCATTGTGAAGAACATCCGGGATCCGCAAGATTTGTGTGCCATTCCCTCCAATGTGCAGAGGTGGCTTTTTGGGGCTCGGTTTTTCGAAAGCTTTGTGAGGTTGATGACTGGGTGTTTGTTTGGGTTGCAGTTAGCCAGGGTGTGCAAATGAAAGGAAGAAAATAGATGGACATCCATTTGTGGTGGTGCCTTTGTGAAAAATAGAGTCATTATTCTTTTGTTGTATCACAATGTATCACACACACACACACACAATCGTACTTCTCCCATGCGGACCGTGCGGACAGATGAATGCGCCAGGCATTGTACAGACATTGGTGGGCTGGTGATATATTTTGCCTTTTCAGCTCTAGTGGTCTACATTACTGTTTGGGTTTGGCCTCGAGGGAGGCCCGGTGCATTGTTGAGACTGCCAGACTGGCAAGGGGAGCATTGTGGCCTCGGAAACCTGGACGGAGCATTTTAAGGCATTTTTTGTTCTCAAACTTTCAGGTATGTACTGTTATATATCATATATGTAGTACTAGATGTTCTTTTTTTTTGTGGTATTTTGTTACTTTTTTTCTGATGGTTTTTGTTTTGCTTAGAACCGGCGAAGCGCTTCCGCAGAGTTCTTCCAGACAGCTTGAGCAAATCCAAGGATACAATCACGAGAAGCCACTCTTGTTTTTCTGTCCGCGCTGGCAAAATCCCAAGCACCTCCAGATCTGGTATCCAGTTTGTGTGCAGAGTTGCCCAGAGGAAGGTGAAGATCTGGTTTGCCCCATGAATCTCAAACACACGACGACCACCACCACCACCACCACCACCACTACAGCCAGTGAGGACTTCTATCATCCCATTCAAAGCTCCATGAATGGTGGATTGCCTTACCCGCCTTATCCAATGAATGGAGCCTATTCTCAATATCCACCACAACAATCCTATGAGTATCCCTTCTACCGCCAGCAGCCCGCCTACCCTCCCATGATCTATCCTCCTCAAGGCTGGGGGGGGTCGTTTGCTTTTTGAACATTCCCTCACCATGTTCGTCGCTTGCAATAACCGTGTGGAATCCCCAGGCAGCACACCAATTGGCCTCCATGGATCTCCATGGTCTCATGGTCAAACACAACAGACCATGGACATGGGTTGTGGAGCTGCCTTCGGGATGTTGTTTTGTCCATCCAATGCCGCTGGGGTCCATCCGTGTTGGTCAGATGTCACGCTTCAATGGGAATCAGATCTGACCCCGACTTCTGACTTCCTCCCGCGCGGCGGAGGAACCTAAGCTCGAAAGAATGCCACAAACTGAACATCACCAACAGATTGCCTAAGTTCCGACTACGTCCGACCACGGTGGTTGGGAGCCACGGTGAAATCTGGCCCCGGTACCTGAAGCTGAGGATGTGCTGGGAGCCCGTACCTTAGGGAACATCAAATAGCAGATCTCAGTGAAGCAACCCACAAAAAGAAGAGACCCCCTTTATGAATGGTCTTTAACCGCAGCCACCCGTGGTACAGACGGGAGGCCCTGAAGGGCACGAGTTGAGCTACGACCTACCCCCTGGTGCCGCGGCAGATCCTTGGCGCCCTGGCACGGTTGACGTTGCTACGGTGGTTTTGTGCCGGCTCTGCCCAGGAGGGGCTCACGAGTCTCTTCCAGGAAGCTCCCCCCCCACCAGGTGGGCTCACGAGTCGCTTCCTTGAAGAAGCGCTCACACCATTGATGTGGTTCCTGTTTGGATGGTGCATGCATGTGCATCCTGGTGCATCGGGTTCCCAGATACATTCAAGATGATTCCCAAACGTCGATTTGATGTCTGGTGCCCTACACATGTTCATAGAGGGCCTGTTAGTCCAATGACCAGGACTGGACCATGCGAACATCGGTGCTTCCCTCCCAACGGCACACGGCCATGCCATTTCACGTTGGAGGAACACTTAGAACCGTGTGTCGTTGATCATATGCCTGAGACGCACGGTAATTCACGCTGATTGGTGTGAGGCCACTGTAGACGCATCTCGTCAATTCTCATACTAGCATGTCGAGCAATGTTGTGTTATATACCCCCAGACTCCCCCCCGTCAGACCTATATAGAGCACAACAACACGAAGAGCACAAGATAGAGCACAGGGCTGGCCCCTCCGGTTCGGGCATAGGTATCAAAATAAAAATAAAAAGAGCATAAAAAAATAAATAAAAACAGGATCAAAAAAAAAAGCGAATCAAAAAATAAATATTCCTTGATAGGCCTCTTCTGCTGCTCTCTTGGCCTTGTGGTCTGCGGGTCCTCTGGTAATGTGGTCCCTTGGTCCTTTGGTCCCTTGGTCCTCTGGTCCACTGGTCCTTTGGTCCCCTGGTCCCTTGGTCCTTCAGTCCACTGGTCCCCTAGTCCTCCGGTCTCCTGGTCCTCTGGTCCTGTGGTCCGCTGGTCCCCTGGTATCCTAGTCCTTCTGTCTCCTGGTCCGCTGGTCTTTTGCTCTCCTACGGCGCTCGTCTGTCGATCTCCTGGTCCCCTGCTTGCGCAAATAGAGGCTTGATTGCTTTCTACTAGAGGCAGCTCCCTGGGAAGAAAGTAGGTACCCAACGATAAGGTTGCCGTCCAGTCATTGAGTAGCCCTACTCGAAAAAATGGTTCACCAGTAGAAATAGCTCCCTACTAGGAGGGGCAGTGGGCTAGAATATTTTTTGAGTTTTATTTTTTTGTTGATCCCCGTTGAATATTTGTTTGTTGATTCTTTTTATTATTATTTTTTTTTTGATCCCTTACCCGTTTGGTCCTTTCAAAGTGGATCCGCTGAGGCATTCGTCGCCCGGACTGCCCAGCTGGCCGGCAGGGCGACAACTGGCGAGTGGAGAGACGATCATCTTCAGCGATTGGAGAGGCAACTTCACCCTTTACAGGACCTGATGGGTGCTTTTTCGCATCCATTCCGGAAAAACAAACAGTGGCCTTATAGGTGAAGAGCGCCATTTTCTGTGCTGAGGTTCTTGGTTAGGTGGCCCCAAATCAATGGATAGGTGAATGATGGTGAATGCATGTGAATGCCGAATGCCCCTTGCAATCTTCAGACCTTTTGAAGCTATCTATAGATTAAGTTCAGCCCAGTTTGCTTTCAAAGTCCCACCATGTGCAAGACTGCAAGCGGGGGCTGCACTGATCTCACTGTCGGTTGCTGATTGACCCCCCAACCCTGAGGACGAAATCGTATCCATCAGTCGCTCAGCGTGCAGTCCTGGCGGTCCCGCCATGTTCTGTTCCTTCATGTCTGCACCAGACATGGACGCCGCTGGTTCTTTTTTCTCCGGCGACGTCCCAAAAAGATGCCCCTCTGATTTTCGTTGATCATGTGGATCTCTCCTCCTGCTCAACCCCAACAAAAAGGACCTGAGAAAAGGCACGAGAAAAAGACTCTGAGACTTATTCAATTTGTCATTTTCTTCGGTGCTGTTGATCTCGCAAGGCTGCCTTTGTTGATATGGTGTGCAAGCCGTGGGACAAGCACTTGGAACAGCAAGTGCAGAAATGGATAGACCAAACTCCATTGGTGAATACCTGGGCTACATTGATCAATTCTTATTGGCCCTTGTTGGTGACGGCTGGCACTGGGATTGTGATGAGCTATGTTTACATCACTCTCCTGCGCTTTCGAGCAGAGATGCTGGTGCAAACGGGCATGATCATCTTGGTGCTGGTGCCACTGGCCACGGGTGTCTACTTCCTTTGGTGTTGGAAGAGCCACGGTCAGTGCTGGGGAAGCACCGGTGATAGGCCGCGGGGGCGCTGCGCAGGGGTGCGCTGAGCAGGGGTGCGCAGCCTAGTCCGGCCTTCTTCCTCCGCTCAGCACAAGAAGACTCATGTCATATCTGCATACTCTTAACTTAGCTGTTGCATGAGTGAATTCTCCTTGACAAGGCTGATGTGATTAATGGGCGTTTAACCCTAGTGGTTGCCAGGTTTTCCGCTTTACAGTTTCCTGATTCCAGCAGTGGATAAAGCTAATCGGTCAATTGAACAGGTCATGCTCTATCTTGGAAGTGGTCCAGTTGTTTTTTTTGGACCAATGTAATGGAACCCAGAACCACTTCCACGTTTGCCCAACCCGCCTGTGGAGGCTCTCAGATGGACTGACGGCGCTGGGCGGGGTCCTCGTGGGACTCACCTTCATGAGCATCTCCTGGCATTTGGAGACACTTGGGCTGGTCCAGGCAACAGGCAAGTGAGTCTCGTACTCTTCCCCCACCAAGAAACCAAACACAGGCCACACAAAAACACACTGTGCTTTTTCTATAGCTTAGTCTGGGACCTCCGCCGGCCCCAGACTTGAGGCAAGACATTGACCTGGCCATTGATTGCATCGAATGGTCCTGCAAGGCAGTGCTGGAGACTCCTTCGCTGAAGTTCCTTGTTCCAACCTTCAGCTGGGGGACGTTTTTTTTCCCCAACTGCCTAGTTTTACTCGGCAGTCCGAGCAGTCCCGGTGTCCAACACGGAAAACACATGGCGATGGTTCTTCAGGCGGATGAAGGGGCACCCTGCGTCTCTTGACTCTTTCACCCTGCGGAGTTTCTCAAGCTAAACGAGGCGTTTGGGGCGCCTGACACACGAGGTTAGAGCCCTTGCTGGCACTCGCTTTTCGCTGCCTGGTGGATCTCTTTGCTGCCAGCGTGGTCGCGCTGATCCTCACCTCCGACCTGGAGAGCTCGCCCGGTCCAGCCGACGCGGTGGGGTTCGTTCATCCATACCAAGCGTGGTTGTTACAAGGGGCCGGCCTCATGGGCATCGGCGGGTGGGGGGGGCATGGGCAAATGTATGCCTCCAACTGCACACCCGTTGAGCTGCCAGCCCGTGACTAACTTTCAGAGATTTCGTTACATACGCGTGATCGCGAATTACACACATTTACGAACTTTCGGACAAGTTTTGCGGGTGACGAGCGCCGAGCGCACTCATTAATTTTGATAAGCTCAGATGGGGGAGCCATACCCACGGGTCAATCCCGAATCCGTAGTGAGATCAACTTGGCGAAGTCACTCTTAGGCGACTGGTTGTGAGCAAAAAACTTCCACCACTGGGTTTGGATAGCCCACCCCATATATACATATACATACCAGTGTACCATATGCAATTCCTTTTGTGGGATGGAAGGGTCTTGACGCGACCTGGGAGTGAACTGCCTTTTGCGTCACGAAACGTCTTGTCTTTGGAATTCTATGGCATTGGTTCTCGGGTTCTATGCTGACCTCCACTTCACAGCCCAAAACAGGCCCCGACACCGGCGCCCAGACCGAACCCCAGACCGAATTGGGTCAGAGTCCAAATCGGAGGAATACCATGTACTTCAAGTTCCATTGGCTTTCACGGGTGGAAAACGACCTGTTCCATGTGACCTGTAGCGGAAGCCTCACCTGTTCCATGCACGACCCGACCCGTTTCCCCCGCGATGTTGGCGGCTTTTTGTCGAGTGACCAGACGTCCAGAGGAGAACGACGAGGTCCGCCACCGGGAATATCGCTGGATCATCCCGCCTCAGTCCCTGCTGCAGATCGGCCAGATGCTCACCATCGGCTTCTCAGGGGCACAAGTTAGAGCCGAAAAGGGTGCCATTTGTGTTTTTGTCCAGCATCATGGCATGTTCAACTATGTATTTTACGATGTTTTTAAACTAAGCTTTACTGCTTCAAACCGTTTTAAAACCCTCCAAGATGGACACATATATAGTTATTATGGACACAACCCTGTTGCTTTTGTAGCGGTTTATTGTGTGATCCCATGACCCATATGTGTGCGGCGAACTGCGCCCGTTTGGCATCCTCCTTAAGTGTGTTTTCAGAAAGCATTTGGCAGCCATATTTTTTCCTCTTAGGCACGCCATAGGCTTTCGCCCGGCATTTGGCCATATAACATTTCTCGGCTGGCTCGGCTGGCACAGCCTGCCCCCCTTGAATCAATCAAGAAAGTGACACCAGGACCGTTGACCAAGTAAGGCTTTTGGTGCTTGTGGACGAACTGGATCATTACGGCCATCTCTGATTTTGTCACTTGGACATGACATGGCAGTCAAAGACGGCGTGTGATCAGCAAAGGTTTGGCATCCATTGAACAGGCATAGGTGTAGGTTTCCCACTGTTTTTTTTCTTGAATTATTTTACTCGTGTTTTTAGGACACGTCAGACGAGCGGAATCAAAGCGATGCGATTCGCATGAGCTGTCACTGACCCACCATGTGACCACGTGACCACCGAGATGATTCAGAGAAGGTTAGATCCTGCATGGGTATGGTTCAAGCATTTGGAAGATATCACTTATCACCAAAAAGTAACAGTAACACAAACCCGTTTTGGATGGTTTGGGCACATAATCTTTTTGGTCAAGTGACACGGATTCCTTAAGGCCCAAAAGAAAAAACGCAATGAATCACACAACTCTATCTTGGCAGGAACATGGTCAGTCTTCCAGCACTGCAGCAGGCTGTTGCCTTAGCAGAAGGACCCCAAACTCACAAATAACAACACTCTTTTTTGTTGTGGTACCCTTTGCTCCTTCTTGAAGAGATGGTTAATTCGGGGGGCAGCTGGGCGCTGGGATTCCCAAGTAAAAGAACAAGAAGAAGCAGCCCAAAAGACTTGTCTCTGGAATCATGGGCTGTTGGTTCAGCCACGTTCAACCCAACTTAAAACATACCTCCCCTCCAGCCCTTCAAGGACTGCTTTCCTGTAGAGGGGCCTGCTCAGCTTTGATAATTTGAGACTGGCTGTTGAGGTGATCATGTACACAACGGAGCTCTGGGCATTCACTGGTGGCCTCACCAAAAGAGGCCACGCACCCTGCTGCTCCATCTTGCGCGGCTATTTCGCATGTCTCAGAGACCTGTACATAGGTGATTCGCATTGGTTTGTTGTGGAGTTTCCCCTTTTCCCCTCAGTTTTTGTTTTTAATGAAGCCTTTGCACACCATTGTAGTTTCGGATCATTTCCCGGTTCCTTTTCAAGGATTTTGGATCTGCAGGGCGCTTCTGCCAGTCCACGTTCTATGAGGATGCTAATTTGTTGTCATGTAACTTTACCCGGAAGCAGGTGACCATAGGTGACCCTTCAAGAGAACAGCGGTTCTGCTGGGGTCTAACCTTCCTTCCGAAGCACGTTCTTTTCCCCACCTCGTCGAGGAAAGTCCCAGCCAAACCCAGGATATCACTTTGGCACCATGGTCGTGGGTGGATTGGTGGTGGGCGCTGCTCAGCCCTTTCGGCTCTTCTTTGCTGTGTTGAGTACGCTGATCAAGTTTGACCGGAGAGCCGTTGGAATCATCAGCCTGTTTTGTGACTGTGTCGTGCAGGTGGGGCGGGGAGTCGGCGAGGCGGCGAGTCGGCACGTGGAGCGCATGGGTTTCGGGTGCGCGTTTCGGGTGCGCGAATGATCAGCAGAAGGCAGAGGAATTCCCTAGCATCCAGTTTTTTCGAGTCTCCAAATTATAGTAGAACATAGGAACCGGAACCAGAAATGGGACAGCCTTGGCAGGTCTACATGGACTATTTGGAGCCCTGGTGCCGCAATGCGTACATGGATGTGGCACTGAACTCTTACTCCTTTGTTCAATCAGCACTGCACGTCTCATGGGTCAACAACGGGGATTTCGTTGACACGGTCCATGTCTTGAATGGTGCCACCTGGCTTTTTCAGCTGGCAGGTTTGGGAGCGATCACTTCGTTGGGCCACTTGCAGGTTTGTGTCTTGACTTTGGCAGAAAGAACGCGTTGTTGGTTGCCGGATGAATCCGGGAATGTTTGGGTGTTTTGGTGTGTTTGGAACGGGCAAGACCGCTCGGTTCCTTTGGTGGCTTGTTTTGAGTGATTTTTGTTTAATGGCTGTCCCAGTTGATTGGCGAGGGCAATCCAGGAGGGCTGACCAACCACCAACCAGGTGTGATTCTCAAATACTATCCTGGCTTTGAAGATCCCTATAGCCCGGCCTATGTGCAAAACCCGTTCTTGCTGTCGATCTGTGGCTCTGCAGTTGCTTTCATCACAGCCTTTCCATTTATGATGATTTTTGACACGGTGTCTGACACCATCCTCTATGTGTATCTAGTGCAGAAGATGCGAGAGGAGAGGGAGGAAACACCCACCATCTACACCAAAGCCTGGAGCTTGGCCGAATTTGTGGATGACTTTATCGGATTGCATTGCTTGGACCATGATAAGAAGGAGCGAAACTCTAGACGCTTGTGGGTGAATGAAACGCGTCCGTGACCCTTTCCGACATTGGCGCGCACCATAGAAGTATGATCCGTGCAAATTTGCAGGTGCTTTACAAGCAAGTTTTTGGGCTGTGGCCATGACCGGAAAGAGATTAGAGGATTTGTATCATTTTCTTGCCCCACCTGGACGGCCAAACAAAGTATATAACTTCGTTTTATATAAGTTGGTTTGAGAGACGTCCGGAACTGGTTTTTAAGGATGGAACTTGCAGAATAGTTCGAACACCTGTAGATGCCACAGAACGACTCGATATCCGAAAGAGCCAGGTCAACACCTACTACTGCCGAACAGACTTTTGATGCAGGGTGCTGCACATGACACTACTGCTCATCGGCGGCCCGGAGCCGCAAAGTAAGTCTGTAAGATTCTGCCAATCCAATCGATTTGGAAGACCATCAGATTCAACAGGGAACTGACATCCATCCCACCCGGAGTCGGGGTGGTGATAGTCGGAGTTCCAATCGATTTGGAAGATAGTCCTCTACAAACCATGGGTGATGTCGATGGCGAGCCGAGCACCCGCTTACAGGAAATCCATGCTGTCGTTGATGGTGTACAGGGCAGCTGCACAACCGTCACATGGGAAGGATAGTTCACTCTTTGGCGGACCCCATCAACATGTCTGTGGGACATGTATCTCATGTTTTTGGCATCTCATTTTCATCTGCTCCATGTCGCCGCCAGTACACTGGCTACGATCTGATTTGGATCATGTCGGATTCTCCTTTTGCCCCTCCAGGACTATTCCATGCCGACCTTCTTGGACGATGTCGAGGAGCGGCGAAAGCAACGGCTTGAAGAGCGCCAAGGGCGAAATCGCTCGACCGCATCAAGCTGAGAGAGGAGAGGAGAGGGGTGACAGGAAACCTCCTAACTTTGAATGCCAGGAAGCTTTCTGTTTTGATAACGGCCCAACGTGGCCTTCGGTGGAGGAAGTTCAACAAAGATTGATGAACAAACCTGCGGCAACATCTCTGCGCACATGATACAGAGAGATTCTGAGTTGTCGGCTGTTGGGCTTTCAATTCTTACTGTTTCCGTTTCTGCTTTGGGGGACGAACATCCCCCTGACTCGACTCTTCTCTTGATGGTCTTAATGCTGGGGGCGTGCACCAGTCCTAACCACGCATATCAGAAGATCAAATGGCATTAGAAAGTGCGAGCATCACAGCAGCTAGAGTACAAAGTACTTAGCATGTAAACATGTCACCAAATGTCTGGCTCAAGTGACAAGAAAAGGAGTGCGATTATGGTCAACCTACGTCGAGGAAGTCGCAAATAGTCGCAATGAAGTACCCGACTGGAGTTGTGAACCGCATGGTGGGGGACACTCATGAGCCTCGGAAAGCCAATCATTCTAGAACCGCAGGAGAGCACGAAATTGAAGGAGGAAGAGGCCGTAGATCAAGCCGAGAACAAGGGCTATGATGTCCCTGGACAAGAAGGAGTAAAAAGGGCTAGGTGAAGAAGGGGACGCGTTGCTACACAATGTAGAAAATTAATGATAATGATGCCAAGAGACAGCGTGAAGAAATGGAACACCAGCTGTATGCACCAACATCGGGTCCATGGCAAATTCCATCATGGACAGATACATTTTTACGATGACCAGTTCATTCTTCAACGCTTTACACAAAAGATGCTACAAGAACACAGTGGCACAGTTCAGAGAGAATCTCAAAACACAAGGGCGATACCTAGGGCAAGTTCACCGACAAGTTCCCTGCCACCGACGAAAATATGCCACAACAAAGGAGGAGTTCATGCGTGCAGCCAGAAAAGGGTAGAATATCGAAGGGACATGGCTCAATTTCGAGAAGGGCAACTCACTCTATAGGTTATCGATGGTTACCGCAAGGGGTTGATTGGGATCACACCTCCCCTGCTCGAGATTTCAAAAACCTTCATCAGCTGCATCTCAAGAAAATAGTTTCTGACAAGGAGAATGTCATCAGAGTGGATGTAGTGAAGAAAGCCATCAGGACAGCATATGGATGTGACACCTACTCGTACTCTGTCAAAGACAACGCAAACACGCACAAAATGCACTAACCCACTACATGTTCTCAGCCGACCTCAGGATGAATGGAACAGAGCGATCATTCTTATGCTGGCTGCTGCTGCTGCAGAATACGTATTCACCTAACAACTGAGCAATATTGAGCATTGGTTGCGCTTCCTAACACCATTCTAAGCTCAGAACGTGTTGTCGAATGATGCCTTCGGAAAGATTGCTTCCGGAGAAGTCCGAAGAAGCCAAGAAGAAGGCCGCTCCATCATCAAAGCAGCTTCGCCTCCTGCCAAGATGCCACCAATTCCACCACCACCAGGCCTGCCGATCCATCCAAGGCCATGTGGTCAGGACACCGAAGATCAAACGCACGTCTTCAGAAGTGACACACCACTCATGTTTTTGGCAGGTGAACCACCAAGTTTCCGATGGCGAACCATCAACCGAGGTCATAACTCAGGTGGTTTAAAGCTGATAGGCTCGCGGTTGGGCACATTGCATGATGATCACATTGAATTAGTTGATTATAGTTTTAACTACCACTCTAGACTATGATTCCTGTAGCGCTGGGGCTCATATTCATATGTTTTAATGATGTTTGTTTGATGATCTTTGTTTGGTGCGCTTCTTGATTCAATCGGGGCCCGTCTAGCTGCAATTTTGGCTCCCCGCGACGCGCCGCGGGATGCGCGGATGTCCAGAGAGGTGGCTCAACTGGAGGGTCATGAGGGCGAGGAGAGCTGGCCTGGGCGTGTGGGGAGCTGATCTTTTTCTCCTGGGTGGGATGGATTTGAAGATTGGAACCTTGCATAAACCAAAATTGTGGAGGTAAGATCAAGAGGTTGAGGTTTTGGTATCAACAAGCAGGGTAAGAATTTGCCCTTTTTCATCCTTTTTCAACGAAGCAAGGATTTGGCTGGGGAGACCGATCCGTTCTACCCCGTAGATCGCACCAGTTGGCCGGGTGTTGCAGCGATCATGCATGTGCCGCTTTTCCCTCGTCCCCGTTGGTCCGGATGAGCCGCTGGGCGCCGTGCTGGACTCACGCGAGCTCACCCTCGCCAGGAGTCCTCGGACACGGAGGGTTCCAGCGACCGGAACGAGCCTGATCCCAAGCCGGTGCAGCGCAGTGCGCCGAAGAGGAATCTCAAGGATCCGTTGGATCTCGGAGAGATCCCCTCCACGGTGCCCAGGTGAGGTGAGTCAGTGGGGGATCCATCCGCTGACGACGGATGACTTATAGCTGACTGAGTTTCTTTTTTAAATACATGCCAGGGGCCGGAGCTCGTGATTCAGTGATAGTTCAGATGGCATATTGAAGTGAAGCTGTGTGCATATGGATTTCAAGGGGAGCCAAACGAAGGGCAATCATTGTTTTCGCGGATGTTTTGATTAGCTTCAGTGACAGATCACGCATCGTTTTCAGCCTGGTAGGCACTGCACAGACCTAACTTGGTTATTGATGTACTTGATCTTCTCCACGGTGGCAGTGTACATTGCTGTTTGGGTTTGGCCACTTGGGCAGCCCACCGCTTTGCTGAAGTTGGCCGACTGGCAAGGGGTCCATTGCGGCCTGAGCCGGAACCGAGGGAAACCGCTGCTCTACTTCTGCCCGCGCCATGAGGGCTCGACGAATTTACAGATGTGGTATCCGATTTGTGTTTCGACCTGCCCTCAGGGCGAGAAGCTGCTGTGCCCCAAAAATCTCAGACACACAACAACCACCAGCACTACCACACAGCTGACGACCACCACAACAGAGGACTTCTATCACGCCATCCAAGACTCCAAGAATGGAGGCTTGCCTTACCCACCATATCCAATGACAGGTGCATACTCACAATATCCGCCGCGGCAGTCCTTCCAGTATCCCTACTATCGGCCCTCCTCGAACTATGCTCCGGTCATCTACCCGCGAGCTCACGCCTCTGGTCCGCCAGAGGACTGGGGAAGCCCCGAAATGAATTACGCCCTACCTCCAGCAGCGAAGTCAGAATATCCATGGCACCTTGGAATTGCAATAAGTCACGCTAAGTCAGGAGTCAGTCACGGCCTTTCCTTTCAGTATAAATGCCATGGAATCATGTGATTTGCCAGTTTCCAGGCTTGTCTTTGTGATTCTTGTTGAGATAGTTGTTTTCAGGCTTCCCAGGAAAGCTGATGACTCAAAAGCAGCTCGTGCACCTCATACACCTCATGCCGATGCAACTGCAGATGCTGATGCGAAGCGTTCCCTACCTCCAGGTGCTATGACCACAGATCCATGGCACCTTGCTCTCAATTACTTGAGTTAGCCGATTAGCCACCCACAGACGATCTTCCTGGAGGGTATTTTGGTCAATTCTCAGCTGTTTTGTTTTTTCCTGCCACGCCTGTCGTTGCTCGTTGGTCGTTGTCATTCTGACTTCGCTTCGCTTCTCCGCGATCAGTTCTCGGTTCGGTGGGCACGGGCAGACCACGCTGGGCACGGGCCAAAGAGATGGGGTTTTCGTTGATGATGAAAACGTGTGGTGAAATGGTTGAAAACTGATTCCTGGTGCTTCCGTCAGGCGGTCCAAAAGACAGACAGATAGACAGACCGAGGGAGGGAGGGAGGTACGGACGGAGGGAGGCAGGCGATTCGCAACCTTGCAACTTCCAATGCAGTACACCAATTGACTCTCATCCCCCAGCTCCCACCTGTCAGTCCCCTCCATCTGCTGAGTCCCACACCATCCCACACCCCAAGGTCGATGAGCCCGCGACGGCTGGGTCAGAGCGTGAACAACGACGTGGTGCACAGCGACTGGCGGGGCAACTTCACGCTTCACATCCTGAGCTCCTATCCCAGTGTAGCCTTGGCCTCCAACGACCATGGGTTTACATATGATTTATATAGCCTTTAGACCGAACAACCCTTGTTACACCATGTTACACCAAGGAGTTACACTGCAAAACCAGGTCACCCTTTCTTTTTTGTCAAGTTGGGTTGGCCTCGCGACAGCGGGCAACCGCACAAACTGAGCACTGGCCCGGACTGGCCCTGACGTCCGCTGGACGTTCATGTTCACCATTGGACTACTGTTCGTGATCATTGTCGTGATGCGTTGAGGGTTGGGACGAAACAATTTCTTTTAGGTTGGAGGCCATCGCTCTTGATTTTTCTGTTGATTTGGGTCCTCCGCATCGTCCGGAAAAGTGGCCTGAAAGGCGCCTGAAGTGGGAGAGAGGGTGCCTAAACTGGGCTTTGCCAGTGTCCCAGAAGACCTCCAAACTGGCAGAATTCAACATTGCATCTCTATGATCAATGATGTTTGTGAATGTTTGTGTATATCATCTACTTGATTCTACAATACCATCCTTGTTTTTGTAGCCCTAATAGCCTATAGTTTTCGACATGTCTCCATCATGTAGCGTAATGCAGATGCCTGAGGATTTCTTCGGTGTGTTCGTACGTCGAAACTCTTGTAGAGTCTTCTTTAATCTCGGCCCAGCTCTCCGAAGTGCTTCGAATGCTGGGGTGCCTCCCGCCCCGTGCACCCGCTATAGACTTCTTTCGAAAGAAACGAGCCGCTGGGCTGAGGCGCCTTTCGTGGACATGGTGTGCAAACCTTGGGTGACGGAGCTCGAAGAGCAAGTCCGGGACTGGATCGCTCCTCGGCCGCAGAGTCGGAGCGAACTCTCGTAGAACCAGTCCCTGTGGACATAGCAGGGGTACAGAGCGAAGTGAAAGGGAGGAGTTGGGGTGAAACATGGTGAATCTATATATAACTATTATATACATATTACATAGGTCGGTAATTGGGTCCATGCAGGTCCCAGAAATGTCCGATGCTTGAATGCACCGATTTTTGTTCCATCAATATCGCTTTTGGGTAGAACGCCAGCCCCAAAGATACCCTTGGCCCAAAGCTTGTTGACATCCCCGACTATTGATCGATTATGGCAGGGAAGGCAGAGTAAACAGCAAACAAACAACCGTATATGTAGTGCATTTTGGAGCTTGAGTGACCCATCAACATGTCGAACCTAGAAAATTCCTTGATTTTTCGGCTTGGACACCGGTTTGTAATGGATGAAGCCCCACCAAATTTGGGCGGCCGCAGGGCCGCAAGGGTTATCCCACCAAAACTCTCAGGATGAGACTCCATTGGTAAATACCTGGGCAACATTGATCAACTCGTATTGGCCATTACTGGTGGCAGCTGGCACTGGAGTGGTGATGAGCTATGTCTACATCACACTTCTGCGCTTCAGAGCTGCGATGCTCGTGCAGCTTGGGATGGTGATGCTCTTCCTGGGGCCGCTGACGACAGGCGACGATCAGAGTCGCATCGTCCGCATCGTCACTGCTTTCGGATTGGACCAAATCTGAAGCATCGAAAGGCTTAGGAGTTGCTCACACATCGCGACAGCACACACCGAGTGACTTGCGGCTTCAACTGACATATGTTCACACACACACACACGCAAAAAGGGGTTCCACACTTCTGGGGCCAGAATCTTCGATGGTTGAATGAAGTGATCGACAGGAATCCTTTGGGACCAACCTTCGCCAGGAAAGGTCACCAAGACTCCAGTGCCGAGATTCGTGCCAAACGAAGCAAAGAGCTCAAAGCAAACCACCATAGAACTATACAAGTATTGCACTAAGATGCACTAAGTGTTGTCGCAGCGCCGTGGAGAACATATTATTTATATAGAGAGCGGGTAGTCATGGGGGGTGGGGTTGTGAAAGTTGTGATTTTGTAAAGTTTTTATCTTTTTGCAGATGATATGACATTGATAGGGTTGTGAAAGCTGTTCTTTTGTAAGGTTTTGCTCTTTTTGGTGAATGATATCATATTGATAGGGTTGTGTGTGAAACTTGTGATTTTCCTGCTCTATGTGCAGTTGGTAAGCATATTTGTTCATTCAACTATGAACTACAAAAATGTTTGAATCCATAAGGCTAGGTGTTTACTAAATAGTTTTTGGATGTAGTAATCTAGTTCCACGCAGCCCCCATGCAAAATCATATTTCTTGCTTTTAGAGTGTGAATTGTATTGCTCTTATTGCATGCAGTTGGGTAAGTACATCAGAATCAGAAGGCAAGTAATTACAAACCCTAAAGAACCAAATTCTATTTTGATTCTTATTCAATTCAACTTCAAATTTATAGTTAAATTCAGGTTTAACTTTCAATTATGGTTTATATAATTCTACTTTGCTTCAAGTTTCCTTCACTATAGATTCTAGTTTATTTGGGATTCAATGCAAGCCAAATTTTAATTCGATTTCAAGCTACCTGGCTTTACTTTCATTGCTATACAATTCAGATTCAATTATAATAGTCTATTCTTGTTCAATTTAGATTTAAATTTTATGAAATTTTCAATTGGTCTTGCTATGAGTGATTTTTTATGAAGTTTTTCCAATATGGAAGTATTTGTTTTCTTTAATGAAATATATTCACACCCCCAGCAATACCCACTCTCTAGAATGGAAGCAAAACTCGTTTAGAATTCCATTTGCATTGAATTGGAATCAAACTAGAAAATTAGATGTGTAAAACAATTGAATCTGAGTTATATAAAGGCGTTGACATTACGAAAGCCAGCCTTCGCAGAAGGCGCCAGCTGAGTTGTGCTTGGCGAACGAAGTGAGTAGGTAGGGGGTCTGGGGGGGGGTGGCCCGAGAAAGGTATACATACACTCGGCACATGCTGGGGGAGGAGGGTGCACGGATGGAAGGTTTTGGAGGTTGTTTTGGAGGTGATGTTTTGGTGATTTTGGCGCGGGTGCTGATGCAAGAAAATGCATTTTTTGCTTTTGCACCATTTGAATGTGGTTGGTTTCTCAAGGGATATCTAGCGGCTTGGGGAAAGGGAAATTGAACTGCTATACCATGCAACTGAATTGTAGTTACCTGGGGTCCGTATAAATGCTATTGTGCTATACTTCCGACACACCTATATAAGTTCAAAGCACTTAATGAGACTGGAGAGGGAACTTGAAGTGCAACATCACTGGGTCATTGGATATTCGATCGCAATCCGGTCTTTCTGTGCAAACTATCCTGTGTAAACTATCCTTTTGCTGGGCAAGAGGTTGCGACTCCTTACCTTGGGTCCGTATAAATGCTATTGTGCTATACTTCCGACACACCTATATAAGTTCAAAGCACTCATGAGACTGGAGAGGGAACTTGAAGTGCAACATCACTGAAGCATTGGATATTCGATCGCAATCCCGTCTTTCTGTGTAAACTATCCTGTGTAGACTTTCCTTTTGCTGAGCAAGAGATTGCGATTCCCTGAAAGAATCATGATGACTGTACATGGACAAGGCGCCCCTCCTAAAAATACCCATTTCCGCTACAACAAGGTCGATGTTTGGATGGAGTTTCAGTGTTTTTCCTATTTGCATGACCGTTTTCCGCTGCCCTGGGTCTGGCGCGCGCGTGCGCGCCCTCCTCTACGGTAGAGTGGGCGCCAACGCGCGCGCGGACCCAACATGTTACTGCAAGGAGGCGCCACCCCGACAGAGTTGACAAAATCGCTGTTCCTCACGCTGGGATACCCACGATGGTTCCGGGCAATGCCCTTCAGCATCCATATTTGAGCAACTGGTAAAATGTAAACAAGCAGCTGCGTGATGTGTTCCGTTTCTTGTGGCCTCGAGCAACTTATACAGATGGAAGCAGTACACATAGTGAAGACCCATAGGCTCATAGGAGACGTCTCAGCTTTCATGCAACTTCTGAAGTTTTCACTACTAACTCTTGGCTGCTTTGCATCCTTGTTTTCACCGAATTCGTGCCGCTCGTGACAAAATAACGCTGGCTTTCGTTTTGCAGCTTCTCAGGTTGCTGTCGTTTGAGCCAGGATTTTGATCGGGGGACGGAGTACATGTGCTTTGGTCTCGTTGGTTTGGTCACGGAGGCAGGCGCTTTGGCCAGAACGTTTACAGGATGGAGCAGGTGTAAAACACAACAATTATTTATAACCTGCGCATCCATGCGCCGAATATCAGATTGTTGCTGTTCACAAGTCATATCTATGATTGTAGAAAGGAATCGTGGGCAAACTGGACAGAAGGGATTGGCATGATGGTGATCTACCAACTTCTTGCCTGCAGAGTCAAAGTTTGTTTGCTTTTGCTTCCCACGTTGCGATTGGGCGAGTGAGTTGGGGGTTGGGATTGTCAAAGCAGGAAGCTCATAGACTCACGTTGGGATTGTCCAGGAGGATACGAGGATCGCTACCGGTGTGGCCGAGAAGTGTGCCAGCTCAGTTTGAACTGTTTGAAGCGGCCTGGTGTTGCTAGGGTTGGGGTCAGAGCATTGTAGATACCCTGGCAGATCGACAATGAATGCAGAACTCCTGCTGTGCTTCATCTCTGGTGTCAGCCAGGTTAGATCAACGTGAAACAAGTCTCGACGAAGCTGAATGCAAGGCTGGTGTTTTCTCTTCTTTGCTGTCACCTTGGTAGAAGAAGGGCAAATGGCATGGCAGTTCCGAGGATAAAGTCGGGCTGCCCCAGCTGTTGGAATTGCCAGGTATACCTTCACATTTACGACCTGCCAGGGCACCTGCCTGAGTTGCAAGAACCATTGTTGGATATTTTTGGCGAGTGCCGAGCTGGAGTATCAAGGCTTTGTGCGTGTGTGTAAGCTTTGGATCCAGAAGGTGTCTTATGGCTCTGACGCAGGGGGGGGCCGGTTGTTCATGCAACTACAAACCCAACGAAGAAACTTGCATTGAACACTGGTATCCTTGAGGATGCTCACCGACGTACCTGCTTGAGTTCTAAAGATCATGTCCCTTTGGTTCCTGCATTCTAACTAGAACAAATTTGAGATTCGACAGTCTCAATGCATTGAATTTTTGGATTGAACTTTCCATTGAAGACTTCGGGGCTTGAGACTGTGAGCTTTTATTTGGTTGGACCTCACTGCATACTGCCTGTTTTACTCGCGTGTCAGTGTGTCTTCTAGGCATTTGGCGTCCTCAGAACAAACTCTTATCTCATCTTATCTCTAGTGTGTTCGAAAGTATTGCAAGGACCGTGCCTGGATGCCAACCGAAATGAGAATGTTCCCTTTGCGTTTGCCCTCTGCTGCGTGGCGGTGAAAATGTTTCATCGCGTTCACTGCATCCACGTACGCAAAATTCACATGAGCAAAGCGTGATGAATTTCTTTAACTTGGATGTAGCTTTGCGCTTTGCTTCAGCCAAGATTCTGTGGTAACGGCGCTGAAATTCGGTTCCCAGCACCTACCAGGACTAAAGCTTCCAGAACAACTCCTCAGTGGACTTGTGAAGATGTCAGGACAATCAAGGCACCAAAAGTTCGCTGCAAACAGGCACAGCCGGGCTTGATCGCGGGACCTGCTTGCTTTCCATCAGCTTGCGCAGGTCTGGTGGATGCCAACTGGCCGAGTCGGGTGGTGTAAAAAGCCCTGGCCCAAGCCCACGGTGACATATTGAAATCAAACACGCAATCAGGGCGGGTGGCGCCCTCCTTCCTGTTGAGGTTTGCCACGCGCCCTTCGGTTGGAACTTCGCTCTGCAGCACACCAAAGGAGATCAAGGTCGAGGCAGGAAAGGATTTGTGGCATCGGGCAAAATGGCGGGTTTGTTACGGTCACATTGAAAGGATGCAGTTTGGTGGTGAAGTTGAAAATTGGTTAATGGAGTCCAACAGAATGCATGGCATTGCAGCCAGAGAAAGCACGGCGTAAGGTGGCAGCCAAGATGTCAAGATATGGCAGAACATAAGGTCCTAGTAGTTTTTAGATTTAAGTTTAGTTAATTCTTTTTTCTTTCTAATAGCTTCTTGTTCCAACGAGGAGCCCCTAGTAGCGTCCTTGCTCCTAGTATGGAGGCCAGGAGCCCCTCCCCCCCAAAAAAAAGAAAGCAACACTGGGAGTTGCCCCAAGCTGTAATTCTTGCAATCTCAAGGTTCGCCTTGCGTTCTCCAGAGGCAGAAGTCTCCTTGCCTTGCGCCTTGGAACCTGCTAAATGCGTTCAGATCATTTTTGTGGGCTGCATTGTGATTGCTTGCTGCTACTGCTCCTGCGGCTGCTGCTTCTGCTGGTTTGCGGTGATCCTTCACGGAATGACGGCACCTCTCTTAATCACACAATAACGCAGACGTTGTCGGGTTGCCAGGTGGGTTGTGAGGTGCGCCTCCACCTCTACGACCTTCCAGGGCATTTGCTTCAGCAATCTGGGTGAGGAAAGTCCTCGGAATACCTCTGAATTGGATCGACGCCGTTCATGCATAGTTACTTAGTTGATCACAGTTCGTAATCGCAAGGCAAGTTACCATTGCCAGCAGGAAGGCGGATCTTGCCCGCAGGGCAGTTGCACTTAGGGATGTGGCCACTTT